GCCCCCCCTGGCAGCTGCCCTTTTGCCCTGCTGTGAGGATGGGAAGCCTCGGGCCCTGCACCAACACCCCTGTCTCTCCCTGTGAGCAGCCCAAGCAGTGCTGGTGTAGGGGCTGGGGATCCCTGCTGGGGGGTCCCTGAGCCAGTGACTGCATCCCCTCAGAGGGCAATGCCAGAGCAGGTGCCCAGCACCTTGCTGCTTCTGCAGGCTTTAGGCTGTGGCAGATAATGGAAAGGAAAAATAGCAGATCCTGTAATCTCTTGGTTTTCTTGCCCCCTTCCTGGTTACAAAGGGAAAGAACCATGCTCTTTTTTTTTCTGTATCAAGTGTAAATTGAAGGGTTTTCCTGAGAGTGAGTCCATATAGTACTTTCATCCGTGTGAGCTCCAAGTTAAACATGTCTTGCAAGAGCAAGGGGAAAAAAGTCCTGTGTTCTTGGGGTGCTGGATGTGGCCAGTTGTATGGAGGGGCTGTAGCCCAGAGGTGGCTGTTACCCCCATGATCTCTCCCTCCTTAACCAGCTCCCTTCACCCTCCTGCACTTTCTGTCCCTCACGCTTCGCTCCTTTTAGCCAGGAATTTTTTGGCTGCATCTTTCCCTGGAATCTAACTTTCTGTGCAGATTACTAGAAGGTTTGTTCTCGGTCCTAGTGTTTCAAAGGTCACAGAGCACCTGGGGGGGCAGCTCGTGTGTGTGGCAGTGCTTAAAACATGGACCAAGACTCCCAGTGTTTCTTTTTAGGAAGGTTCTTAGATCTTGAGGTGAATGATCAGCAGCTTCCTCTCAACCAGTCGTTGGGTTTGTGTTATTCCAGCCACGGAGTACCACCTCGGCCTGCTGAAGGCAAAGCTTGCCAAGTACAGAGCCCAGCTGCTAGAACCCTCCAAGTCCTCAGCTGCCAAAGGGGAAGGCTTTGATGTGATGAAATCTGGAGATGCCCGGGTGGCACTGATCGGTTTTCCTTCCGTGGGTAAGGTCAGTGAGCGTCTGCGTCACCCACGGGGCCTGGGTGTGCCTCTGCTTTGTGCTGAGCAGTGCCTGCAGGGCAGGGATCCACCTTCTCTGTGCCTCTCACCTTGCCATGAGCTGGAAGGTTTTTGTCCCCTGAGAGCTGGAGGTTGGGGAGAACCTTCCTTCACCTCGTGCGTGGGGGGCCCTGTGCTCACAGACTCGGTGCTGCTGGGGGAGTGGGTGAGAGTCTGTGACCCACCTTTGCTCAGGCAAAGCTTTGGCTGTCCTGTCACCACTTCTGGGCCTGGAGCAGCCACGGCATGACCTCCAGGAGCTGAGGAGCAAGCCCAGGAAGGCGTCGGTGGCTTTCGTTTTAACCCTTGTGTCTCCAGTGACACTGAGCTCTTGTGTTCCAGTCCACCTTTCTGAGCCTCATGACCTCGACTGCCAGCGAAGCCGCCTCTTACGAGTTCACAACCCTGACCTGTATCCCTGGAGTCATAGAAGTGAGTAGGATTCTCCTCCCCTCAGCACAGTGGGGACAGTGAGAAGCCTCAGTGTGTCCGTTTACTCCCCGTGTGCTGCCGTGGAGAAGCAGCAACAGCCAAAGGTCCTGGCTGACTTCTGCTTTAAACTTGGGCAGTTCTGATCTGTCTCAGTGAGAGGTGGTGGCACTCACTTGTTGCTGTGCTTTCCTGTTAGGCCAAGATAGTAAAAGGTTCTTTTTTCCCCTGTCCTTCCTATTTCACTGACTGAGGATAACGTGGCTGTTGTGCTGTTTCCCCAGTGCTTTGTCAAGGTTGTGAGGTTTTAGGAGGTGAGGAGCACCTACCATGGTATGTGGTGCTGAACACAGCTCCATAGGAAATCCTCTGGAGGTCATCTTGACAAAGCAGCCATCAGCCATAAAGCTGTCCTGAGGTTCAGTCAGTTCTGCTCCCTGCAGGCTCCAGACCCCAGCACGTGCTTGGGCCTTTGGAGGCAGCTCAGGTGCCCTGCACAAGGCTTTCAATTTTCTCCCCTTGTTTTCTTTTCAGTACAAAGGAGCCAATATTCAGCTCCTGGATCTGCCTGGAATCATCGAAGGAGCAGCACAAGGTTGGCTTGATCTCTGTGTCCATGTAAAGCTGGGATTTGACCTCAGTAGCATACCCAGGTGTCTCAAACATTAACAGGTTTCCTGGGCCAAGAGTTCCCATGTTGACTTTCCAGATTTTGGAGTCCTTGATCTTATGTGAGGCACGATTCTTATCCTTGAGCCCACGTAAAGCTCTATATATAGCAGAAAGAGGCTTTTCTGGAGGTGGGAGCCAAAGCAAGCCAGCCACTTCTCACCTTCTTGGATGGGTGTTATCTTGCTCATCTGTTTTCTGGTGCAGAGGAAATCTAAAGAAACATACTGGAGAGGCAGAGGGGGAAATTGCAGCTCACCAGTAACCTCCTTTGATGGGTTTCCTGAGTTCTGCCAGTCCTCCTGTGACTCCTGATTCTGGGGAGAGGTGTTCTGCCCTGCTCCATTGTTCTCCTGATTTGACTGGTCATAGCTGAAGCTTAGGAAGATCGTGTCAGAAGATGCCTTAGGAAACTTTAGAAAGTTTCCTAACAGTCTAGTCTTGGAGGAGCATAGCCTGATTAATAAAGTCTCTTCTCTTTGGCCAGAAAGTCAGTGTGACCCCTCAGCACAGGGCCCATGTCACCATTCTGGGTAAATCTGGGTAAGTCTCTTCTGCCTGGAGCTGCTGCCTCTGCACATGTCTGGGTGTCCCTCCTGCAGGCAGAGATGCCATTTCCACCTGTGCAGCTGTGCTCAGGTAGCTTCACAGACTACTTCAGGCCACTTCTGCTGGAGGAGCAGCAGCAAAGAGTGTTTGTGAGGGCTTCTGCTGGGTGTAGGACAGTGTGGGTGGAGCAGATAGGCTCCTCAGGGCCCTCCAGCAGCTGCCTGCAACCAGTCCAGAGCTGCAGGAGCCTTTTCCCTGCTTCCAAGCAGCCATGCAGGGCAGGAGTGCCCATCTGTCACACAACTCCTGGCTGGTCTCTCTTGCTGATGCTGCTCCTCTCTCTTCTCAGGGAAGGGCAGAGGTCGGCAGGTGATAGCTGTGGCCAGGACAGCAGATGTTGTTATTATGATGCTGGATGCCACAAAGGGTGAAGTACAGAGGTGAGCGTGGAGCTGGGGGGGGTGGAACAGCTTTGGGGGGTTTCCAGAAATCCTGCTGGCTCCCTGAAGTGTTGTGTGTCCTGGGTGTGTTGGAGAACCATTAGGTGTCCAGGGAGACCCTGTTGCAGCCTTTCAACCCTTCAAGGGGCCTGTCAGAAAGCTGGGGACAGACTTTTAGCAGGGCCTGGTGGGACAGGACAAGGGGGGATGGTTTTAAACTAAAAGATATTTAGAGAAGGAAGGAATTTTGGACACTGAGGGTGGTGAGCCCCTGGCCCAGGTTGCCCAGAGAGGTGGTCGCTGCCCCCTCCCTGGCACCATCCCAGGGGAGGTTGGAGGTGTCTCTGAGCACCCTGCTCTAGCTGCAGATGTCCCTGCTCCCTGCAGGGGGGCTGGATGAGATGACCTTGAAAGGTCCTTTCCAACCCAACCCAGTCCATCATTCTGTTGGATATGAGGAGGAGGTTGTACTCTATTAGGTGTGCTGGCAAACTGCCTTGGGCTTCTCAGCTGCAGGATCATTCCCACAGGATGGCTGCTCAGAGCCAGGGGTACCAGCCTAGTTTTCCACCACAGGCTGCCCCACATTAGCTGTGCTTTTTAGGTTGTAGTGAGTTACGGCGAGGCTGTGTGGATCTGATGGTCACAAAGGAAAGGTGTGGGTGCCACTTGACCTCACTGCCACTGCTGCTAACGTCCAGTGTCCCCACAGGGCCTTGCTGGAGAAAGAACTGGAGTCTGTGGGAATCCGGCTGAACAAAAGCAAGCCGAATATCTACTTCAAGGTGAGGTGTCCTGGGCTGCTAAGCACAGCTTGTGCCTGGCTGCCTGCTCAAAGCTGGGGTGCCCGTGTGCTGCCCCTGGTGCTGGACAGGCTGGATGGGGAGTTGTGGATTATCCAGGTTGTTCTGAAGTTGCTTTCTTGTCTCCCTGCAGCCGAAGAAGGGCGGAGGTATCTCCTTCAACTCAACCGTCACGTTGACTCAGTGCTCTGAGAAGCTGGTGCAGCTCATCCTCCATGAATACAGTATCCTTTCCTAAAACTGGAGGCCCTTCAGCCACCAGCAGCAGCTCCTGAGTGCCTGCTGTGGGACAGCTTTAGAGCCTGCTGGGTCAACAAGGGGCTTTCCCAGGCAAGCTCAGCCCTCTGGCTCGCAGCGGTGTGTCCATGTGTTGGGGTTTGGGCCTTGACAACGTTCTCCTCAGAAATCTTCAATGCTGAGGTCCTCTTCAGAGAGGATTGTTCTCCTGATGAGTTCATCGACGTGATTGTAGGCAACAGGGTCTACATGCCATGCCTCTATGTGAGTATCTCAGAGCCAGGCTCCCCCTGCTGCCCCAGCCACCTCCACGCTTGGCTGGAGAATCTTCTGACAGCCTTTCCCACAGCATTCTGCTGGAGAA